TAAAAATTAACTAAATTAATATTTTTATTTTTACTTCTTTCTAAGAATAGATGGTAGTTCGAAGATTGTGAGCAAACCATCGAAAAGATGGGCATTAAATGAACTGATTTATGGATAGCCGGACTGACATATTTATGGATCAAAAGATATGGATAAATTTATGGATAGACATATACGAATTGATTTTATGGGCCGCCGCGGATGGGTGTACAGATTTATGAGTTATTGTGTATAAATACATAGATTTTTAAAGAAATTTATCAATAAATTAGAGTTTATGAATGAATGAATTAATAAATAAATAAAATTGTAAATATTTATTATGTACAATTTATCATGTGAAATATATAGTAATTAAATGCTTTCAAGGATAGAAAATTATCTCAAATACCCAAAAAAATGGATTATCAGAGGACAGTTTGTGAAAATTTCATGAGTGGTTTTTTCTATTCATATGTGGTGGAATGAAAAAATCAATCAAAATTGCAAGGATTTCAAAAATCAAGTCTAAATTTGTCTAATTCCAGGATAAAGTTCTTCACAATTCCACGTGTCCACATGTTTTAAGGTAGAGATCCAACGACCACGATTTACTCCATTGAATTGGAGTTGAAAGGCAATCAAGGCTATAATCTGGTGTGCTTGAGCTCACGGTAATTAGAGAAGACAAATTCGGGTGGGTTTTTTTTCCACCACGTGGCAGAAGTGGAGTCCAAATGGATTTTGGGCCCGGGTAAGGTAGAGTTCTGAGTTCAAATGGATATTGGACTTTAATTATTAAAGAGCTGGGTTTGGTCTGGGCTTCTAAAAGTTGCTAAAGGATCGGGCTTGTATGGTTATTTTCCATCAAGATTAAGTTTGACTGTTTGAGTAATTCGAAGGAAGCTCCTGCAGCATGGAAAACAAAAATGATTTTATAATTTCATTAAATTGGGAGGACCAGATTTGAAGCATGACAGTGAGAATCAATTGGAAAAAATCAGGGACAGTTCAAGTTGGTTCAATTGGCATGATTTTGGGCATTTTGACAATCAATTCAGTTCATGAAGGCATATAAATACAAGAAGTAATGGATGTTTTCAGCAGGCTGCTCCTTATATCTACTAGCCCTGCACTGTCTTCATACTACAAAATAACTTAGTTTCAAGGAGGATTGCCCCTTTCATCAACTTGTCATGCGCTGTCTTCATACTAAAAAATGACTAGACTTCAAAGAGGCTTCCCCATCTCAATAAAATTAGTTCTCTACAATGACTTAACTCAACAATACACAACAACTGTATTTGAGATCGTCCCTCAATTAGGTCCACCCTTTAGTAACTCCGTCAATTCCTTATTTATCTATAAAAAAAATTAAGAAAGAATTAAGAAAAATATTCTTATCTATAGAAAACTAAAAATTAAGAAAAAAAAAAAGAAAAAGAAAAAAGGCAGAGGTGAGATGACTGGCTGACACAAAGGTTGACATTGTGTCAGCCAGTCAAAATATTTGCCCCAAAATTTTTTGACCATCGACACCATTAAGAGAGCCAGATACTTGGTAACCATTTCATCGCCATTGTGACTTCAATTGGTGTTCTGTGTCATTTTTGCAGAGAACGAGGGATGTGAGCATGCGTTGGACATGCTCCAAGGCAAAGTGACGACTAATTCGACGCTGCCAATCTATAGCATGTGGTTCATTGTTGTAATTATCCTCATTGATAATTTTGTTACAATCATCTAATTTAATATAATTTAATTATTAAAAATAATTGATTACTAAAAAAACAGATATTT